CCCCCAATTTTCAGTTTTAAAAAAGTAACCCAAAATTCACACTTTTCCATGATTAAAATGAAACACCACTATATTTATATCTACATATTAGTGCCACTTTAATCATGGAAAAATATGGATTTTGCATTTTTTTTTAAACTGAAAATTGGGAATTTTTTTAATCAAAGAAAACCAGGATCCCTGCTTACGAGGTTGAAATGTTAGTATCCTGTGAGCTTCACAGGACCTTTTAAATCCTTTTAGCCATGAAGGAACTGCTGGCAGATATTCATCTTGTTGAATTAATACAAGTCTTCCTGCTTCTCTGGCCTATTCTTCCAAGGGTATCATCCAAGGCCTTGCAAAAGCACATAATGTTAATCAATCTGATGTTAAATGTGATTTGGGATTCAGTGTACACAGACCGTGTCTTAACTTGTTTGTTTCCATGTTGTCCACAAACACACTATCTTTTTTAAGTGTTTATTCAGATTAGGCATTTTTTTCTAAAGGTATTTTTGGTTTAATATAAATCTTCCCTCATTCTTTCAAAACACTTTGAGGTAAAAGTAAAGTGATTTAGAAAAAAAATACAAGAACATTTAAAAACAAACAACAAAACAAAAGCAAAAGATCAGTAAAATTTTTAGGCAAGATAAATAGAAAAATATTTGAGCTTCACCTCAACGCTAATGATTTTCAACACAAATGCACCTCAAACAGCAAAATAATCAAGTTACTGAGTCCAAAGTGGAGTTCATTCCTCATGCAAAATTCTGACTTCAGAGGGAGTTTCGCCTGAGTAAAGATTTCAGGATTGGGCCCATAGCAGTAAACAGAGAAATTATTCAGGAACAGATATTCCCATGTTATTCCAGTCCAACAAAATGGAAATATAGAACCCCTACATTGTCTCTTTCAGCTCCACGAAGGTAGAAGATGGACACATTCACTGCGCCAACATTTTTATCTCCTACCTGAAAGATTTTCGTTTTGTCAAATAACACTGACTCTTGCTGGCACTTGCTTTTAAATTGGGCTTCCTATCTGCACACAGGAACCCAGCTTAAGGGGCACTTCTAGGAACTGTGCCATGTTGGTAGGAGACCCTTTGAGGAGTGTATTCCAGAGAAACTGGGTGTCTGCAGGGAAATCCTGTAGACTGGAATA